CTGGAAATGTGGTTACAAGCAGTTCTCCAAGCAAAACTCAGGAGCCTTTGTGGAAGATGAACTGTACAATGGTTCCAATTTGGGGAATTAGAGTGATTGCATCTAGATCAACTGGAATTTAGGATTATTGCACATTCTGTAAATCCTACTTTAATGGATTTTGCTTTCCTTTATTAAATTTCTGTACAGAGACGGAACATTTGATATAAGTATGAATTTATTAATATCAATTTCCTTAAGCTATTATTTTAACACAGGCTGACTGGAGAGGTGAAGACAGGGATGATAATAAACCTGCAAAATCTGAACTGTGCAAGACCTACACTTCCCCTTCAGCAGAAAGAGGGAGAGGGAGAGCCGGAGGGAGGGAGAGAGAAAGACTAAGAGGGAGGCAAGAAGGAGAGGGAAAGAAAGGGGGGGGGAAGGGAAAGAAAGGGAGGGAGGGAGAATGAACCAGGACGTTTTCAAAAGGAGCACGTGGCTGCCTTCAGTTATAGCAGGAGGTAATGACAATTGGACAACATATGTCTTTTATCCAGAAACACAGATCTATTCCATACATACCAAATCAAAGACCATTTCATCGAGTTTTTAAAAGATACAAAATATTTGTTGTTCTTACATACTGAAATTAAAACCTAAGTTTAAAAAGTGCACAGTAGAAACTGCTTAAGGAAACCTACGCTATGCTATCCATGGTATATCTACGGTTTTCCACTTTACAATCAACATCAAATTCCATGGTATATCTACGGTTTTCCATTTTACAATCAACATCAAATTCCCTATTTGCCTCACTGGTTACAAATATATTTTAAATGTTTCAAAGTCATGTACAACACTGACTATTGTACTAGGCCCACCCAGGTGTCAGCATCCTGAAGGCGGGGCCCAGCGTGGACATGGAGTCTCAGCTGCAGGTCCAGGCGGCGGGGCAGCAGCTCTGGGAGGAAGAATCGCCAACAAGTCACTTGTAAACTTTGGAAACTATCGGTTCTTATTCTTTTTAGAATTTCCCTGTGCAGAGAAAATGCCAACAGTCAGCACACAAACTTCAGGAAAAATCATCCTCAAGACTTACACACCCGGCTGTCTACAAAGCATTTGGGGGCAGCTTCACTTCCAAGAGGGCGAGACGCTGAGAGCACGCTGGCGACTGACTTCTTGTGGTCAATGCTCACAGAGCCATCAGTCTGGGGCTGTGAACTCTCCCCACGCCCCATTTCCAAAGACTCTATCCCTCTGAGTCCCAGGGGCAGAAAAGAGAGCTACGGTTTCAGATTATTCAAAACCTCAAACATTCATTTTGTTCCTAAGACAAGGGAGCTTGGAGCTTCGTGAACCTAAATGGAAAAGGTTTTAGCCCTAACAGGTCTCTCTGTTGTTGAAACAAACGCCACTTCAAGACCTTAATAGGCACTAAGTCTGAATATGTTCCAACCACCCAAATGGCACTGATTAGTCATCAGAAGCAAGCTTAAATCCTGCTGAGAACACGTTAGGCGGTGAGGTCATTTGACTCCCAATTCTCCCCCCCACCCCCCATGCAGAATTGTACTCCCCAGTTTTGCACAACTTGCCTTTTTTCAGGAGATATTCAAGTCTGAGGAAACTATTCTGATTAATGTCCTACACTGAACGATTAGGGATGAATGCATTTCTTCATGTCAGTGGGATATGCTTGCAGAAACAAACTTCAAGAGCAAGATAACCGCAAACAAATCTCTCAGGATGTTTACTTGGGACCCATGGGGCCGATGCCAACTCGGGCAGAGCATGCACTGAAATTCCTGTGGGGCCGGGGCACACACTGGGAGGGGAGCACGATCAAAGAGAGATAAACATTATATGAACTGTGGGTCTCCGACTCCGTTTAATCAATGGCAGGTGCTCTGAGAGGAGCTGCAAATCCCCCAACTTCTGAAGTCACTGTAAGAGCTAGTTACCTTCAGCATGCTAACGTTACTGCTTGGGACCGTAAACCATGCACCAAGCACACTGCCATCGAGTCCATGACAGCACACTGCGACCCAGTGGGACAGAGCAGGGCTTCCCCACAGGGTTCCACGGCTGCCAGGGCTCCCTTCCTACCCCCCTCAATAGAAAGCAAGTGTGCTGTCAGGCTGAAGACTGAAAAGCTTCCCTAGAATCACGGCTACTTCCTCCAAATGTTAGTGTTACAACAGGCTACCACATAGAGCCGCTAAGATAAATTACACACGCCACGGGAAAACACCAAACACAACCTTTTCTGTATGTGTGCTTCAACCCACTGTGGGAATGCAGCCTGTGAATGAGCTATTGCCCCACTGGAGGACCAGTAGGGCAAAAGGGGTTTTTTGGTGGTGTTTTTTTAACAAGGCTTTTTTCTAGAGGACTCACCCACGCGGACACCACCCTCTACAACCAAGCTCAGGTGTTGCACAGCACAGTGGCCAGAGAACCCTCATCAGAGCCATATTGGCGGGCTGCAGGTCCTAGAGATGTTCCAGGGAAGCATGAGAGCCACCTTCCAGAGCAGCTAGAGCCCGATCAATATCATGAAACGATGATGAGAAAAAATACAATGTGGTCACAAGACACACTGTCGACAGGCGCCCTGACTGTGCAGCACACTGCCCTGCACCCCCAGCAGCAGGTTCTGGAGTAGACGCGACTCACTGCTCAGCGGACGGTGTGCAGTGTTGCCTCTACGACCGAAGCCTGCTCAGCAGCTGGGATGGCACACAGAGCCCTCCACGACCTACCTTTCATGGCTAAAGAGTAGATACACAAGGGGGGCTGAAAAGTTCGTAGACATTTTCCATTCTCTTTGAATTCCATTTTCCATGAGCTTTTTGAAGCCCCCTTGTACATTTTATTATAACAATAGGGAAATGGTATGTGCATATGCATTTGAACATGAATTTATCTACTAGTCCCAGCCAGGACAAGCTGAGGCTTTATGGGAAACAAAATAAAAGTTTTAAAGTTAAAAGGATAAAAAAATACCTCTGTTATATGGCTATTTATGAGAATAAGTTTTCTCAAGATTACTCTTCAGTATCCCCGGTTTAGACTCTCCTCGACACAGGGAAGTTCCTGTCCTAACAGTCCCATGGCAGGCCCCTAACTCAGGCGGAGCAGAAATGCCAAAAAGACGCTGACTGAGTATTAGGGTCTTGGAGGTCTGACTTCCTCAACGTTTATGTTTATCTTGCTTTTGAGAAGAGGGCAGGTTTGACTGAGGAAAATCCCCCATAAGCACTTTTAATCTCTAGCCATCTGCTCCTGCAATGCAAGACCTCCTGGCCGTCCTAAACTATCCCCCCACCTCCTAACCTTGCTGGACAGCTTCAGCGTGTCAATCTCCTCTCTCTGCTTGGACAATGTCTCGTTCATGCTGCACAGGTGGTCACTCATCATGCTTAACTGATCCTCATAACTCCTCTTGGTGGTTGTCAGCTCATCCTAAGGAACAATGGGGGGGAAGAGGCACATGGAAAGAAAAATGATCAAAATGCCACAATTCACATCATTCCCAAAATTCCTTCCCTGTGGAAAAACAATCTGGGAAATCTATCAAGATGACATATCTGATCAAAGGACACGAAGGCTGTGGTCCGGGCCGAAGACAAGAACAAGAGTAAAGAAAGGGGGAAAAAGTTCTTTTTGTTATTCAGTCTTCAAAATATGTACTGAATTTCTTACAAAATAAATGTTTTGCTGGTTAGCAATCTCTCTCTACGTGTGTGTGTGTATATGCACAGTGTGCATAGCCTCCTGTGAATTAATTCCACCTCATAGGACAGGGTAGAACTTTGTGTGTTTCCGAGACCGTAACTCTTATGGAAGCAGAAAGCCTCATCTTTCTCCTGATATAAATGTAATTAACTGAGAATTGAAATCAACTAATACTTAATAAGGTTGCTAGTACAACATGAGGGTGCTTCAAAAAATTAGCAGGAAAAAATGGAATTAAAAGATAATGGAATTTTCCTCCAATTTTTTGAAGCCCCCTCATATATCAACGTATGTCTCTGCCGATACAATCTGTATAGTCAGAAGAATCTTACAAAATTGAGGGTGGGCATGATTTCAATTCAATGAAAAATAAAATTGAGGAATATTTCTTCTGGAATCTAAACTACTCTTTTACGTAGCGCATTGGAACGTCAAATTAATTCTTTCAGCGACTGGCCACAACATAGCACTACGTCACAATCAGATTCATTTGGAATTAGAGATACTTTCTGAATAGAATCACTAGGACGCACTTAAAAAAATCATTTCATTGGGAGCTCATACAGCTCTTATCACAATACATACACATATCCACTCTATCAAGCACATTTGTACATTTGTTGCCATCATCATTTTCAAAACATTTTCTTTCTACTTAAGCCCTTGGTATCAGCTCATTTTTACCCCTCCCTCACCTGAGAGAACTTTATATCAAAGATCAATTATACATTAAGAAGACATCCCAGCCCAGTCTAGATCAAG